CAGCAGTGTGTCGTGTAGGCTATGGATTGGCAGTGGCAAGTGCCACAGCAGCAGCAGCAATAACAGCAGGAGCAGCGTAGCAAATTTTCGTTGTCATATCCATTGAGGCCCTGATTTAAAGGAGTAGTTCACTTTAAAAAAAAAGTCACTTTTGCTGATAATTTACTCACCCCCATGTCATCCAAGATATCCATGTCATTCTTTCTTTATTTGAAAAGAAATTAAGGTTTTTGATGAAAACTTTCCAGGATTTTTCTCCATATAACGCACTTTACTGGTCACCAAACGGTTCAAGGTCCAAAAGACAGTTTCAGTGCAAACTGCAAACTGTTCAAAGGGCTTTAAACGATTCCAGACGATGAATAAGGGTCTTATCTTGCGAAACGATCGCTTATTTAAAAAAAAAAGTTTAAGTTTTATAAGCTCAAATGCTCGCCTAGCTCTGTTCTGTGATGCGCGTTTGTGACTCTGTTCGAACTCGTTCATCAAAACGAACAAATATTTTTTCGTGTCATTTGGTTAATTCAATGAACGAAATGAATGAATTGACTCTGAAAAAGATTTGTTCATTTTGATGAACGAGTTCGAACAGGAGAGTCACGAACGCGCAATTTTCTTTTTAAATGAGCGATCGTTTTGCTTGATAAGACCCTTATTCATCGTCTGGAATCGTTTAAAGGAATGCCTTTCCTTTCATATATTTTAAATGACTTGCAGATTTATAACTGTATTACCTCATTATGACTATAACAAAAGATGTGTGATGCACAGTGTGCGGCTGATGCTCCTTTGGTTATGAACAGCTCATGCAAACGTGTGTGTATGTGTGTGTGTTCCATGAGCGAGCACGCAGTTTCGCTTGTCACCAGAGGGGGCGTAGTTCTGTAAAAACTCAGATACTTGTGTTTTGCACCTTTAATTTCTTTTCGACTGAAGAAAGAAAGACATGGACGTCTTTGATGACATGGGGGTGAGTAAATTATCAGCAAAAGTTTTTTTTTAAAACTACTAAATCGAAGAACGAACTGATGTGTAGCCATTCCGAACAAATTCAGGCCAAAACAAAGTTTGTTTGGAGTCCTTTTTGGAAGATCAAAACAGCTTTCTGGAAAAGTTCTGTGTGGCTGGTAAAAACCTTCGTACAACCATTGGTCCATGCCGATTACGTAGTTGGTAGTTGTGCTCTGAAGCTTCACCTTCATTGACATGGAAAATTGATTTCTTCTGTCCCACCTGTCAAGGTCAGACGTCTGCGAGTGAAAACATGCTATAACCGTGCTATATATAATGTAAATAATGTGATTTTACTACAGTGCCGAATTGCAGAGCAAACATATCCACGTTGCTATGATCAGATTCTAATGCTTTATTTAACAAAAACGCTTGCTATTTTTGCCATTTTGTTGTGTGATTATTTTGTTATAACGAGGACATTGCCTTGAAATCTTTTTACTCTTACAAAAAAGAATAACAAGTGAATAACAAAAAAGACCTTCACTGTGAGTATATCGGGGCTTTTTCCATACCATACCATGCCATGATAGAAATATATTTAAGGTTGGGAAGATTTTTAAAGTTTGATATGCTCACCAAGGTATAAAAAATACAGTAATACAGTAATATTGTGAGATATTATTAGTTTTAAATAGGCAGTTTCTCAAAACTCTGTGGATCATTATTGCAGTGATAATTATGTTTCAAGCATGTTATGTGTTTGGCAACAGTAATTCTAGCCCTAATTGATGGTGTGTAGCTTTTCATTTCTTAAACATCTGGCTCAAATTGTGAAAGAATGGTTGGGAAGAAGCATGAAGAATCCTTTTCACACATGAATCGCCACTTGAGTGACAGGTGGATTGGCGCTGCTGTCACTACTAGCCGTTTGTCTGCTGTATGTTTGCCGGCACGTCACCTCAGCTAATCCCGTCTCTCTGCCCATTTTCGGTTATCTGGGAGTGACGAGAGGTGACGCTGCCAAAATGGCGACGGCTGGTTCCGCCCACTTTGGGCTTCAAAAATGCTCTTCAGAAATCACAGGTGACGTAGGGTGCCATGTGCGTTGGATATTTACGCTTTTGCAGATGAGAACGGGCTCCACGGACACTACGTCCATTGTTTTATACAGTCTATGGTCTGTGTTTTTAATGTTAACAAAACAATAAAGGACAAAGAAGAGAGAAAAAAAACCCAACTCACTGCTCTTGATCTTTGATGTGAAGACTATGCAGTGATATTTATTTGATTAGCCTACTTTATTAGGCTACATTTCGTTACCTGAAAACTATTAGACCTGCCTGAAGAGCACTGTTTATTTTATTTGTATGTATTGTTTTGTATTTATTTGTGCTTTTGCCTTTAATTTGTGCTTTTTTTTTATTACTGACTGTTTACTTGTTTTAAAAAATGTAAATTTGTGAACAATTCTTTTTTGGAAATTACCAACTGGCACATCTTACCCCAATCTTCCCTATTTATAATAATGTGCTACTCTTTTCTGTGCTTTACCTCTGCAGATATTGACATAGGCCACTATTCAGTCTCAGTGCTGACTTAGAAGGCAAAGAAGAAAACTTCAAATTGAATAAAGAGTTCTGTGGATAATCACTTGTACTTCTGTTTCTCAAGGGCGTAAAAGAGTCACGTTAGGGCTTCCCCGCCCCTGTCCAAAAAGGCGGCAGCAGTGGTCTGTGATTTCCCAGTTTCCCCTGCTGGAGCTTCTGACTGGGGCAGGCTGGTTGGTTATTATGTGACAGGGCAGTGGTGTAATTGAGATGAAGCACACCTGGACTTTAATTGCTCACTCACCTGGTTCAGCAGCCCCTCTTTGTAAGTAGCACAGCCTACCCTGTCACTCTCACTCTAAAACTGAGCATCAGCATAAACAGCTCTGACATACAGACATTAAAAGTTGACCTTTTAAAGTAGTCATAAAGGTGTAACCAGTCTGCTCTTCTTCCCAGGTAACTCCTTGTATGAGTAATGATTATCTGAAATGCCTGAGTTGCCAGGCCTCTCTCATCCACACAGTTTATACTGTTTGACAAGCCGCTAGTAAAAAGCATGGTGTTCGGAAAAGCCAAACAATTGTAGGCCTACCTGTTCAGGGGACTCATAATGTGATTATGGACTATTTGCATTAT